ACAATGCCAATGGCACCGAAGAACGGGTGGTTGGCGGTGTTAGACGGGGAGAGAAAGCTTGTTCATATAAAACCAAAGTTCTTAGGAACTACCGATCCGATCATGTAAATGAATTGATACAAGAGATTAAGCAAGATTTTGAATTCAAATGAATGTAAAGAAGGGCAGAAAGTCAAATTTGCATCCCAAATGTTGAGGGGCAAGGCACTAAGATGGTGGAATGTCAACAGATCTACCCTTGGGACTGTTATGATCCCTTTACTCACATGGGATGTGTTCAAGAAAAAGGTTATGGGGCACTATTGCAATGAAAGGGTTTTAGAACGAATAGTAGATGAGTTCAGAACACTCAAGAAAAGGACCAATTCTATAACAGATTATTCTAGTCAGTTCATAGAGAAATTGGACTTGGCGAGCCATCTGATCCTAGATGAAAAATCAAAGATAAAGGCTTATCTGAAGGACCTACCGACGAAAATAAAGTCAATGGTATGCAATGCTAAGGTGTCCATGTCCAAGAAGCAATGGAGGAAGCTCAATTGATGGAAGATGGCCTTGCTCAGAGCAATGAAGAGAAATATGTGATTAGAGAGAAGATGGGAAGGATAGTAGGGGTTATTCATGAGGCAGAGACCTCTCAGATTTCTCTTATTCTTTAAAGTTCATATTCTCTTCTCTCCAATAGAATGGCAACGAACCGGGTTTGGGCCGATTATTGGTATCCCTGTTCCTTAAACCGATAACTAAAGCCATCCCAATCTTTGTCGGGGATCTTATCGGGAATCCCCGTCGGGTCCCCACGGTTTCTCCGATCCCCATTGGGGAACCCATTAAGGGTAAAAATTCCTTTTTTTCCCATTGGTTTCCCCGTTTACCATTGATTATACTCGAACCTGAAAACCGTACCGATCTGGAAAAAATTGCAATATGTTAATTTTCACAACTAAAAATAAATTACAATTTTAGATGTAAGCCTAAATGTCTCAAACATAATAAAACTAATTACAAACAATGTCTTAGATTACAATATAAAAATAAACAAAAATTCAAACATCATACAACTAACATCACGCTCACGATTAGACAAATAAACTAGACTTTTTCATGAGCTTTATTTTGGGTGTTGAGTAAAGTGAATTTAATGTTAGTATTTTCTTTTAATGATATTATATATATATATATATATATATACATATAAATTAAAATTAATAGATATACACATATCAGGCCTGGTCGGGCCTGTGATTACTGTCCCCGCCCCCATCCTCGTTAAAATCCTTGAATATGTTCCCGATCTCCGATAAAATGTCCTTGCTCAAAAGTTTTAATTTTCGATCCTCACCGTCGATTTTGGTTTTTTTTTTTTACGATCCTTGCTCTCCGATCATATATTTCTCTTTAGATTTCAAATTAAATAATACATAAAAATTATTTGATATGAAACAAACATTTATTGTGTATTATCTAATATCAAATAGTTTCTGTAATTATAATATTTATTTAACAATCAATTTTATTATGATTTTTTTCTTAGAAAATGTAAACTTCAAAAATTAAACGTTTGTTTGTTTGACCTCCAAAGTCAATGACAATAACCAATAGTTGAATAGATAACCCGAAATTAATATTTTATTTTATTTTTTATCTCAGTCGATGTTATAATATGACATTATATGATTATGAGAAAACGATGATGTTTTTATTTTTGAATAAAATATATGTTTGAAAATATCATAAAATTTTGACAAAAATATATCAATATTAGTATCAAATTAACTATTTGAAATTCCTCATTTTTTTGTGTAATTTTTTAATTCAATTTTTTTATAATTTAATTTATGTACAATAACGAAGTAATTTATATTTGGTTTA